AGACAAGCTCCATTTCTGGGGCTCAACTCCTCATTCTCTGTTAGTGGAATCACTGCTGTTCCAGGTTCTCCCTCAACACTGATAAAACTGACATAGAAGGCTCCATGGCACTCACTTCTCCTAGTCTCATGTACGAGAAGATGAGGTGTTGTCAAGCAGAGATCTGCCAGGAGTGGAGGAACCCACCTCACCTGCAGAGTCCAGGAAGCCTTGTGTTTGAAGCTGTATCTGATAATCTAGCTGACAGAGGCAGACCAGGATTGGCCCTGCAGACAGAAGCAATCAGACTGGGTTGCTGGGCAAGGGGCACATCCTGCTCCAGCAGGGTGGGGAACAGGAGACAGAATCGAAAACTGAGGGGAAATATAATTGGACAGGAGGGAGAGCCAGACTGTAAGGGCACACTTGCCCTCCAGAGAGGGCAGAAACATCAGTTTGGGGAGGAGGCAGGCATAGCCACTCCATAGGGGGAAAGATGATTCTAGCAGACACACAAGAAAAGAAATCTTGAAGCATAATTTATATGACCAGAAGATTGAGTTGTGATTCATGGTCTAAAGGGGAATTTATTAACTCTAATGGACTATGAGACTAATGTGGTTTGTGTGTCCAGATGCAGACCTGTGGTGATGGGAAGCCTTAGAAAGATTTGAAGCTAAGCTGAGTTTGAGTAAAATCTGCAATTCCCCCTCACCACACACACACACACACACACACACACACACACACACACACACACACACACACACCAGAGGATTTTATTGATGTGAGTTTCATTTAGGGCTTTTGGAATGTAGGAAATGCTGTGAAAACTCCAGCGTGACCTTCCCAAAAGTCAGATAGGAAATTTCTGGAGCCAACAATTCCTTAGCTCACTCACTCAAGCTCCAACAGTCTAAGGTCCTGAAACGAGGAAGGTAAAGCTATTGCCAAAACGTATAATGCATCACCGTGTCAGACTTTGGGATTATCTGCTGCTTGGGGTTTTCCACACCACTGCTCCCCTTCATTAGTGGGGATAATTGAGAGTTGACTGCAGTCGTTACCACTGTTGTGATGGGTATTTGAAGCTAAATTCCGGCAACCAGGAGATGGGTGAATATTTATCTCAGCTGCAGAAAGTTAATGCAGTGTGGCATTAATTACCCTGTATGAGCCTCCTGTCTTCTTCTGTTTTTAGGTGTCATTCTCAGTGGAATAAATTAGTTTCCAAAATTAGAAAAGAGCAAATTGTAGGGTGAGATCAAGGCAGCTTGATTTCTTAGGGCATCCAAAAAAGAAGAATGGGCCAAGAAAGCCATCACAGCAAAGCTAAGATGCAACCTTGTAATCCATGTAGGCAAAATTAAACATTCCCCCCCTCCACTCCCGGTGTTTGACGGTAACCAACCACCTCTAGGACACAAACATTCAGTGAAGTTGTAATTGGGACTTGAAACATTCCAAGACATTGGTGGGGAATAGATGTTGTGCTGTGATAAATCATCTTGCCAAATTGAATGTGGTATAAAAGGGTTCCAAATTTGTTACTGGTAGGAATGTGGACTTTTTGGGAAACAATATGGGCTTTCCTCAAAACACTAGTAATTGAGCTTCCATAAGACCCAGCAATTCCACCTCTGAGAATGTATGCCAATGACCCCAAAGAAACAATTCAGAAAAAAAAATCTTGCTATAATTTGATAGGTTCTGTTTTCATGAAATAATCTCATTGGAATGTATTTAAGAGAAAGAGGTTAGGACAGGCAGGACACAAGACACTGGATCATAACCCTGCATGGATTTCTGAATCTCTCTACTTTCCCAACTTAAAGACGGTGGCAAAAAGTGGCAGAGAAAAGCTGTGGCAGAGGAGGCTAACACCTGCCTGTCCTCAGATACTAGAGAGAAGGGTGAGAGTTATTGGTTATACCCTTAAGGGCAGTATGCAGTCCTTTGGGTGGAACAAGTAGTCACTCTTTTATTCCAGAAGAAGGTGCCTCTGGGGTAAGACACTCCTTTCTAGGCAAAAAAAAAAAAACCACACAAACAAATGAACAATAACACAATAATGAAAACAAAAACAAAAAACCCACAGCACATTCTGGAGAGAGGACTCCCAGTGATAGCAGAGTAGCAGAGTCCTTTGCTCTGTCATGGTATAGTGAAAACATGGTTCTGTGGCAGAGGAACACAACCACTCTTCTTTGAACTTCCAGATTCCCATCTGTGAAATGATGGATTCAGACAACTATATCTTCTTCTGGCCCATTACCATTTTGCATTAGAAGCAAGTCAAGTAATAGACTGAATACATAAGAAGTAGTGCCATGACCTTAAGATAACACTACATCTCTGGCCTTCCATTTTTATCTGTAAAATTAAATGAAAAAAATAATTTTGGCAGGGGTAGGAATGGGTGAACTCTGTGCCCAGGGGTGACTCCCACTGGTTCTAGGGAGCTATATGGTCCTGGGGATTGAACTAGCATCAGCACATGCAAGTTGTAATCACTGTACTATCTCTCCAGCCCAAGATAGTAAGAATTTAAAGCCACTTCCGGAATTTCCACTTACATGGCAGAAGGCGTGATAATAGATTCAATATGGCATAAGGAAGATGGCATTGTGTCCATTAATTCCTATATCAGATTGACAACATCAGGTCAATGTTTTCAGAAGACCTAGGCATGTGTGAGACCTCAGGCCATTTCAACAGGAACATGAAAACCAATGTGGACCAAAGGCTATTTCCCACCTGTGTTTGTTTGAAGGTTTGCATGCACTGGTGGAAATTCCATGTGTGTCTCAAATCAGGCAAGTTTCTAGCCAAGTCTTAAACAATTGGGAGTGTCAAAACCAGTTCAAGAAGCTGTTAACTAAGAAGAGCAAAAGGATCAAGTGTTATTTCTCTTGTTCATGAGTATCCAGTCATCACTGACTGTAGAAAGAAAAGGAAAGTTTGAAGTGAATGTTTAGTGGTCTTGAGTGGACATAGGAGAAACTGTGTTAGAAAAATATCCACTTGACTCATAACAAGAGTGTTACCTTGTCCAAAGCCCTAATGTTGAAAAGTGCTAATGCTTCTAGTCAGACCTCAAATTCTCTCAAGAGTCATGCAGGATAAACAGGATTATTTCCATTTCAAAGTTGGAGGAAGTGAACCTCAGAAAGAATGTGTAACATGTCCTCATCACACAATCACACAATTTCTCGGGTTTTCTCTAATGTCCTTAACAGGGTACTCAGTCTCAGCTTGTAAATAACTAAACTAGATGAGTAGTTCTTCGTGACAGTTAAAAAAAAAAAAGCTGCCAAAATGATCTGCACCATGATCCAATAATCACCATGATCCAATAATCTCACCATGATCCAATAATCTCATCACATACTGTCACCATTCTGTCCTATCTCCCAAACTCTCCTTTCCCAAGATGTCTCGAAAACTCTAGCTGGAAAAGAGCAGTTCTCATTCTCTCCTTCTGTCCATAGGAGCTGGAGCCTCTCTATGCGCAGATCAACAGACCTAAGAAGTAGCGTCGATGCGGGCTCATGGTGGATGTTTCCAGACTGGCATGGAAATCAGCATTGTGACAGGCTCTTGTATTCTTTCACCTCACTCCATCCCACAAAGAAATTCATAATTGCCCAGTGGAACCCATTTGGAAGAGGGAACTAAGTGATTTTTGGCAACCCATGACAGATGTCTATGGCAGCACAAATCAAAACAACATAAAGAAACCACAGAAGTATTTTTTAAAAATCATACCCAACTTTAAATCACAAATTGAGCAAATGATTCCCTGGCAAGTATGTCGAACTCTATTAGCATGGGCTTCATATGACCCAAGGTATGAAATCACTGGTCTTTTTATTTCTCTACCTGTTTTAGCATTGTAGAGACATCAAATTTGGAGGGAAAGGTCTCGGGAATTTCAACAGGGTTGACACTGACGTCTTCTAGCCTAAAGCAAGAGGTCCCCTGTCACCCCAGCATTGTGGGATAATGATTTTTTTTGGTCACTCTACAGGGCCTTGTCTGCCATTCCCCCACTCTTCCTTTATTTCTAATGATGGAAAATTAATGAGTGTACAAATTTTTATATTGCTTTTGACTTTCTTAGATATGGATGAAGAAATCTAACTGGGGGTGGGGGGATGCCGCCAATGAAATGAAGTAACTTGAAAACACAAGGCAAGTAAATGGTGGGTGAGTATTTCTTTATGGTCAAGAAAGTTGCCAAAACAGCCCTTTCGCTCTTCTGCATCCTGGTGAAGAAAGACTGCTTTGGAATTGAACTGCATTATATGAGCAGGAAAGGACATGGATTCCACTGACGAAAAAGACAAAAATCTCCATTTGATTTCCTAAGACGCTCTAAGCACTAAGTACAATAAATGGATATCTTTTATTTTTCTGATATCTTGCTGCTGTGATGTTCTGCAGACAAGTGTCTTCTCCGTGTGCCATTTTCAAAGAAAAGTCATTTGCCAAATAATTCTGGAACAATTCCGGTAATGTGGTTTTGGATCTTGAACAACCAACTTTCTAACAGAACAATGGTGACATGAATATTCAGAAGAACAAACTGATTCTGGGGTCACAACGGTTCATCTCAATCTCTTTTTGTACATCAGAAAAAATTCAAATGGGATTTTTATTTTGTAACTTGGAGAAAGAAAAAACCTTACCATTAAACTCTTTAAATATTTAAAGGAAATGGCTTTAAGGAGTTCTAATGAAAAAAATGCCAGTTTTTTGTAAATATAAATGTTAATGAAAATGCTTTTTAATAATGCCATTACACTGTAGAGAAGGTAGCATATTGAGTGCAAAATGTGACAAACTTGGTGGATGGGGCTCACTTTCCAGATGTTATTCTGGAGTTGATGGGAGGAAGCTTAGAGTTCAGGACACCTGGCAGGGGCAGTGGACCTAGTCCACAGCTAGTGAACAAAAAGGGAGCATGGGACTGCATTACCCAGCCATTTACCCAAGTACCAGAGTACGTGTACCCAAGTACCCAAGTACCTGCCCTCTGCATTAAAAAATACAATTTACAAGTTGAAGTAAATTTCTGAATTCAGATTTTGAACCTCTCTCCCACTCCCACCTAGGCCCCTAGAGATCGCTGGACTGTTTGTACATGAAACAAGAGTTTAAGCTTCCTTTTTTTTACATTTATGAGACAAAAAGTGCAGTGTTCAGTTCGTATGTTTAGCACATGATTTTCATAAAGAATCTATATATTTTTGCCCAACAGAGAATTGTTCTACAGGTCAAATGTGTTTTCCTGATGTTCCTATGCAGTTACAGTATGCTGAATTTAGTGGTTTAACACTAAGAAGAAAACTTTAAAGAATCATATGATTAATTGGACTGGGGATAATTATAATTATTAGTACTTGGTTTTAAAATTTGAGAAGTAGCATTTACATTGGTATGATCGACTTGCATAGGCTTGCGCACTTGGGTTCTTCATTTCCATAGAAAGGAAAATGATTTGGGAAAAGGTATACCCAGTCACCAAAGGAATATTGATCCACAAGGTTATCATTGCTGTTGGAAGTCCAAACTTTTCATGGTCAAGTCACCAGAATCTAACTCTTCTCCAGCTAAGTAGACTGACCAAATGTCCATTAGAGAATTTATGTGAATGCTATCTTATTGTGGAAGGGTGGAAGAACCAGATAGTGAGAATGGAATGTACCTCCCTCTATCACCTTTGGTCTCCGTGATTTCTCCAGGAACATGTGGACCTTTACTGAATAGGGAAGCCTTGCACAGGAGGCAGGAAAGGGGGATCACTGTGCATGTCGTCCTGAAACTAGTTTGATTGTATCTTCTTGGGATTGGATCAGAGGGACAGGTCTCCTGGGGGAAATGGCTGGCAATGTGATGTGGGCTGTAATTCTGATTCTAAACAAGTGGTGCTATCTTCTCCCTCCATGTGGTTGTGCAGAGTCTGTCTTGGCAGTATCACCCCATTGTACTGGTTCTTGGGGTCGTTCTGGACATGGTCCCAGTGAATGTGGGCTGATGTAACTGTTTCAGGAATGTCATCTAGAGTGAATATCACAGCAGAAAGGGACAGCCCATGGACTTAACATATTTCATGGACTGTTTGGGAAAGGGGATTGACTTTGAACTGCAAGGAGAGGCCCAGGTGATGAGTCAAAGGGAGGGAAATCAAGTGAAGATTTGAAACTGCCATCCGTGTGATCACTGGCAGAATTCTGACTCTTAACACTGTTATGGGAGCAAAGAACCACCACCATACCTTCTTCCAGGGATACAGTGACATTTGCGATTAAGAGCAGAGGTGCTGACACCAGAAGGCCATGGGGAGTTTGCAGTTTCAGTAGAGGAATAGAAAAATCCGTGTGTACAACTGTTAATTCCTCATCCTTCACAAGCACTAAATTTGTCACTTTAAATTTTGAAACCAGGGAAATGCCACCTGTCACTCATTCCCATCCCCTGTAGTTCCTACTTTCTACATACCATACCGCGAGACTTTTTTGATAATTTGTCCTCATCCCAGTGTCAACTGAAACCCCATCATGTAATGTACCGGCGGGCACCTTCTTTAAAAAACAAAATGTTTACTCTGTGGGTTTGGTTCATTTCAATTTCTGCGTTCTGACACATATTTTTTTAATAAAGACGAGAACGAGAAAATGACTGTGGCCGTACATTTCTAGACCTACTTTAACTTTACCTCAGATGACAGTTTGTTAACATATATGGACACATTATTTTTAACTTTATGTACAATGCATTCAACAGAACAGCAAATTTTTAGAGATTTTCCATTAATTTCTGTAACACACCATGTAAAACTGTTACAAATAAACATGTTTGAGAACAACAGCTTTGCCTGAATTTCTTCCACAAATTCCTCTAGGAGAGTCAGGGACTGAAAGAGGAAATGGTTTCCATTTCAGCCTCACTCTGACCAGCTGAGGTTTCTGTTCTCCTGAAATTGCCCCCCCCCCAAAGAGAAATTCGTTGAGGATAAACTTGAATCACCCCCTTGTTGATTCATATACTTTTCACACTTGGAAAAGTAACTACCATGAAGAATGAGAAGGGTGCTCCCAGCCAAACCAAACTCGTGTGTATGGACTAGAATTAGCATGAGACTTTGCAAAATCAAGAAAGACACTGAACTAGATGTTTGGATTTACAAATTCTCCACAACAAAACAGTCTAAATCCTCCTCAAACTGTTGACTGAAAAATTCAGGTTAAATTTAGACTCAAAGAGTCAACTTTAAGTTATTTTTTTAATTTATTAATTTATTGAATCACTGTGGGAAAAGTTACAAAGCTTTCAGGTTTAAGTCTCAGTCATGCAATCATCAGACACATTTCCCTTCACCAGTACTTATTTTTCACCAAGAAGAACCCCAATATACCTCCCTCCCAACCCTCCCAATGCCTGTGAGGCAGATGAATTCTAGTTAACACTCTATCTACTTTGATTAGATTCATTGTTTTGACAAAAGATGCATCATTATTATGTAGAGTTTACACCCCCAAATCAGACCTGTTGAAAAGACATTCTGAAAGAATTTGTTTCTATAGCTGGTTACAAGAATTAGATCATGATGTGCGGCCATTATTGCGGCCGCGCGATTTGGGATTTCTGATATTTTACTTATTAAGCCTGGAAGTATTTCTACCGAGAGTCAGATAATTATGAGACTGGTTTCTGTGGCTCTAGAGTCATGGCCGTGCCGGAGAGCCACTCGTGGGGGGCAACTCCTGACCTCGGTAGGGCGTGAAGGATGAGCCCGGAACGCCCCCCTTCCCATGAGGTTTCAGTCGCCCCTCTTCACGACCAGCTCATACCTGGCTTTCCCAAAAGCTCCGAGGCAGCCGCCATCTTGCTGTCCAGAGGGAAAAAAGCAGAAGGGAGCAACATCCTTTTCCCTCCCGGCAGGCATGGTGGCATGGATTAACGCATAGTCCATTCACTTTACTGCTGCAAGCTGCCGGGTTCTGCATTAAGTCCTTGTGCTTCTGAAGCCATGGCAGTACCGAACCTTAAGTTATTTAAGAAGAATTTTTGTCTTTCTTTACATGACCCACATAATAGAAGAAATCCTAAAGCTGAGAAGAGACTTTTATATATGTTGAAGAACAGAAAAAAAAGTGCATGTATGTATATATACAAGTAGTGTATGATCATACACATGATTGTGTCTTGTTTATTTTCTTTGTATTTTTGTTTGGGGGCCACAACCAGCAGGGTCCAAAATTTACTCTAGGATCTGTGCTCAGAGATCACTCCTGATAGGGCTTGGAAGACCATTTGAGGTACTCGGGATCAAACTCCAGTCAACTGTATGCAAGGCAAGTGCCTTACCCACCATACCATTTTCTTTTGTCACGAAGTCAATTGATCTAATAGTCAACCAGATTACAGATTACAGTCCAGTCAGTAAGGTGCCCCACACAATTCTGATAAGAAAATTGGGGGTGATGATGGCAGTGGTCAAAGACAAATGCCCTTCATCTGGCTTCATTACACAGACATTACATAGGCTGAGATGCCAGCAAAATAAATTAGGAGCAGATAGAAGACACAGTATTCTTACACTGAGGCACACTCAGTCTTGACATAAATTGCTAAAGAATGATACAGAAGCATTTTTGCATAACACCTATAATTTCACAGACTAAGCCGCTCAAGGGATATGTTCCCAGTTGGTGCTGGGTGCTCCGTACACATCACCTCCATTAACTATCTGAAGGGGGCAAGAGGTCAACATAATCCTCTGATTACAGATTAAGAGAAATGCAGGAAGATAGAATAACTTTTCCACCTGTCCAGAGGTAGAAAGGAGATATGAATTTTGAGTCCCTTGCCCCATAGTTATTTTCTCTAAACAAAAAATAGAAATAGTAACCATTCACTCTTATAAGCAAGTTTCTAAGACTTAGTGAAAAGTATTTCCCTCCCCTTCCTTTTCCCATACCTCCAGATGATCTTTGGTAATAAGTTAGATTCCTAAATTCCTCCAGTGTGAAGGAAAAATAAAATCCCTCGAGCTGGTTCTGTCTTAGGTGAGTTGCTAAATACATAGTATCTTTAATTGGCATTTTTGAGACAGTGTGTATCTCAGGGATAAAGAGTAAGTATATGCCTTTATTCCCCATCTAGTTCATGTCTAGCTGAAACCAAGCACTGGTGATTTATTTTTCCAACTTAAATGAATCTTAAGGAAGTGACAAATTAAAAGGTGTCCTATTTAACTGTGAGGCAGATGCCAAAATAAATCAGGCAGACATATCTGCTTTCATTTTGTGCTTGAGAGCAAACCCTTGTTGTTTTGACAGTAAATGTTTTTTGTTTTACTCAGAATGACAGTAGGAAAAAATGCATAGAATAAAAACAGGTTTCATTGAAATCAACCTTCAAAGCTTTGAAGTTTATAAAAGATGTCTCACATTTGAGACATATGAGAGCATGGGGGCTTTAAAGAATGATTTTTTTTTTCAAAGTAAGCAGTTATCAATAGCTTTCAAGCTATTGAGTGACCACTTCTCAGGATTGATGTAAAAATAGAAATAATCACTGTCTGGATGTGATCTTAGCCTATGGGCCACAAAATTCCTGTAGTTTCTGAAGCCTTACACTCATCCTGGAGGAAAAGGATATGCCTCCCATTTTGTAGCTAAACGTCAGAGATGTTATGAAACATCTAGATCAATTAACTAAACCTCAGAGCTCACCAGGAAACTGCCAGAGTGCACTGGTTCGATTCCCTCATTCCATCTTTTTTGTGGCTGCTTCTCTCTGACTGGGGAACACTGTGATGTTCAGTTCCTTGATGCGCCCTCTAGAAAATACCTTGAGTTTGAGTTTCTCTGTATTCAATTTCAAGTTCAGTCTACTCTATTATAAAAACTCTCCATGCATTATCTTGGCAGATTTCACTTGAGATATTGATTAAGTTTAAGAATAACTTATTTTAAAGAAAAAAGACAAATACAGTTTTATTCTCCAAAACAGTCATTGCTGGAACCCAATGCAATGAATAGTTGATTTCAAAACAAAACCCGAAAGCTCACTTAATTTTTCAAGGTACAGAGATCTGAAGGGGGGTGGGGGAATCTTTTTCAACTTTCTGTTCATTCTTTGCTGAAGAATATTAATGAATGCCAAGTGGAAAATATCTAAATATTCTTGTGAGATGGTAGCCTCTGCTGACTTGGGTCTTTAATCTTCTGAACAATCTCTTGCTACTTTTATTGCTCATACTAGAGTCATAGCCTGGAGTGGAGAACTAGCAGGCATGGGAAGAGATGAAGTGAGCAGTAGTTAGAGCTGAGGACTGTTCACAGCAAACTGTGACTCCCCTTGGTATCACACTCTCAGCATCTGTCCTGTGCTTCTCACATTTGAGGAATAGGAAACTCTTGAAGCCTCTCTCATTTCAGGTCACTCACTGATAGCTCAGAGCTCTGAGCTCCAGACTCCATAGACTTAGGTGTGAACACAGTGACGCTGTGGCTGCAGTTTGTGTTACTTGAGTTTTATTTATGTGTGAGCCTGTGGTGGTATGTGGTCACATCAGTGTGTTATAGAAATGTTTCCTCTGGCTGACTTAGGACCTTCGAGAAAGTACAAGAAGGATGGATGTCAAAGATGCTTGAGCCCATTTGTTTTCTCCCAGTCAACAGTGAAATAATGAAGAAACAGTGAAATAATGAAGGCCTGACTCAATGGTTAGTGCCTCTTTGGTCAAAAGAGAGGCAAAGGATGCAAAAGTAAAGTCAGAAGATGGTTGTTAGTCTTTCTGTATCCTATGCACTAACCATATCCCAAGCCATGCCTGTAAAAGAGATGATATACTCCCAAATCACCAAACCATCTTCACTAATGAACCCATATAGTCTCTTTCCGAGGTGGACCCTGAGTTTATGGTCCTGGTTTGGGTTCTGGCTTGATCACTTGCCAGTTTTTTTGAGTTCAGACAGGTCATTAAGCATTCTCAAATGCAGAACACTCACATGTAAACTTGAGATCATAATATCTACCTCTTAGGACTGTTATGAGAAGACAATGTGATGATTCCATACCTGGAACATAGTAAAAACTCAATGCATTTTTCCTGTGATTAATATCAAAGATACTACACTACGGTAGGGCGTT